TAAAGGCTGTCCCCTTAACCCAAGGCTGTCCCCTTAACTAAAGGCTGTCCCCTTAACCCAAGGCTGTCCCCTTAACTAAAGGCTGTCCCCTTAACCCAAGGCTGTCCCCTCCTTGGTACTAAAGAGCTATAGCATTTGTAGGTTTTCCATTTTTAATTCTGTAAAATCAGTCAAAGATGACTACAGCAACATGAATAATTTGTTCCATCAAGTTTCAGGACATCGCTGGAACAGGCAATTGCATTTACTTGTATCCTGAATTACACTGTATCCTGAAGCAAGGTAATCGGAATGAAAATACCAGTTACCCAATGGAAATATTCATAGTGTCCTAGTATAAACTGTAAGCTATACAGTACATGTCACTGAATAAATGTCCTGTGATTCAACTGGGAAAAACAAATAATAACCCAATTCCCAGTAACACTACAGGAAGCCAAAAACTAACCAATGGGTGGTTGGCTAAATGCTGATTGGCCAAGCATGATATCCCACCCACAGCGGCTTCGCTGACAGGACCTTACCCCACATTTCTCCTCTCCAGAGATAGTAACCCGCTGGTACTCCCTCTCCAGGGCCGGCTCTCTGTCCCGGGTGAAGGTCTGCTCCGCGGAACACTCATCCTGCTCTATCAAAAGCCTAGAGATGGACAGTGAGGCAGAGTGAGCTTCTACCTAATCATATTCTTATTCAGAGGCGATGGAAGGCAATTCGTACATTCCTATTAAAATACTCACTTATCACTGTCATAATCTCACTTTGACAACTGCTGCACAATAAGGCAATTAAGGGCCAAATGGTCATTGTCTAAATCAGGAAAATAACAGTTATTGTTCTTCAACTTGAAGATGCCATTTGTTTTGGATGTGACTGACCTGGTATACTACATTTCTGTACTCGAAGACACAGAGACAAGTGAAAGAGAACCGTTAAGTGAAATGCAAATGTGGGAAGGTAAGAGAGCAGTGAATGTGGAAAGGCTAGGGAACAGTCAATGTGGATAAGTAAGGGAGCAGTGAATGTGGAAAGGTAAGGGAGCAGTGAATGTAGAAAGGTAAGGGGAAAGTGAATATGGGAAGGTAAGGGAGCAGTGAATGTGGGAAGGTAAGGGGAAAGTGAATATGGGAAGGTAAGGGAGCAGTGAATGTGGAAGGTAAGGGGAAAGTGAATATGGGAAGGTAAGGGAGCAGTGAATGTGGGAAGGTAAGGGGAAAGTGAATATGGGAATGTAAGGGAGCAGTGAATGTGGAAGGTAAGGGGAAAGTGAATATGGGAAGGTAAGGGAGCAGTGAATGTGGGAAGGTAAGGGGAAAGTGAATGTGGGAAGGTAAGGGGAAAGTGAATGTGGGAAGGTAAGGGGGCAGTGAAAGTGGAGGAGGAGAAATGGAAGACAGAGACCGAGGTGAAGGCCTGAGCGGCTCCAAAATGGTGCAGATGTTCTAGCATATCTCTAGATGCCTCTTTTCAAAAGTTGCCTGGTTTCCCGAGTGTAACATGTCACATGCTTAGCGCATTAAACATAACCCTGACAAAAAAGTGTTATGCCATTAGTTACTGTCCAGTCAGCAACTGCAGTTACCTTTGGTTCTGATACATTTTTAGGCATCTGAATCTGTAGGTTTCAGGAGACCTTTCAAACTGTACCTGTTCTACATGGACTCAGCTCCAGCTCTAAGATGAAGGGTGGGCCTTTCTGGTAGGGCTGGGGGGTGTTTTGGTGTAAAGGTTCAAAAAGCCCATTTGGATTTGCTCCTTCCAATCCAATATTTTATAAAAGAAAATCTGTAATTGATTGGCATTGGCCCAGCCTTGGGATGGGTCAAGTTCATGGTTGGCTGAGGTAGACTCTGATTGCATGCCACCCCTGATCTTTTTAATTTCCTAACACAATAGTTTTTAAGTATTTGTAAAAGCTATTTGTAACAGTGCGCTGACCTGCATCTTTGATTTGCTTCATTGAGACCTTGAAGAGCAGTTAATTGTTTTGTTAGGAAGTGCTGATGAATGGTTAATAGCAGATATATCTGTACTGACTGGGCACTACTGCTGGTGGGTCCTTTATGGCTTCAGCTGGTACTATGGTCACCATCAACTTAGCCTGCGAGTCCAGTGTATGCAGTGGTGGATACTCTGAACATCAAAAAGTAGAAATTTACTCCAAAAAAGAAGGAGAAGCCAGTTATAGCAAAGAACCTGCTGGTTTTTCCTCAGAAAAAGATGCTTAAATGTATCTGGCCATTAAAACATCCAGCCAAACTAGACTGGACCTACAAGCTAGCAGTGATGTAACATGTCAGAACAGGTGGAACAACAAAGGCAAACTGGATAGTTCCAGTAGCTTCCATGCCTGTAAGCTGGCGGGGTCACTTACTCAAGGTCAGCTGCACTGTCTGTTTTCATGAAGTCCTGCTTGGCCCGAAGCAGGATCTCGGGCTCCAGTCTGATGGCCGGAGAGGTCAGAAAGGTTGTGAAGTAAAAGGAGAGCATGTAAGGGGAGATCAGACTGGAACTTTGATTTCTGCTCGCTAAGACAATCTTAGGGACCATCTTAATGTAAATAACTCTGAGGTCTGCATTTGCTGCCTAAAATCGGGAATAAATTGTTTGGAGCCAATGTTACATCCAAATATAAATCACTCTAAATCATTTTGGCTAGTGAAATGCTTAGTTGTTCATTTTATATTCATTTCCCAACATCTTGACTAGTACTAGGGCACTTCTGAGGCAGAATGACAGCGACAGAGTTCCGCGTAATTGGGGTGCGCTGCCTACTGAGCACTGTGCACAGATACTGAGGCACAGAAAAGCCACTGTATGTTCTCACACCCATAGTCCCAAGAAATGAGGTCACAGCTAATGATTAGTGGTTATCAGAACATTTCTGCAATGTTACAATGTGCATTATAATACACCCCCCCCCAAAGACAAAACACAAAAATCGTAAGTGCTACATTTGGAAATAACTGAAGTTACATTTTCGGTAATTTAGTAGGAGTTATGACTATTTACACTTGTAGGCAATAATACTGAAAGGTACCAGGGAGTTTTCATGAGCCTCTAAAGGTGACAGCGGTGTAGACTCTGCATGTACTGCAATCGCTTTGTATGTCTCAGTCTCTTACTTGACATCCTGACTGATCTGTCTCTCCAGGCGATGGCGCCGTTCCTCCAGCTGTTCTATAGGACAGTCCTCTGGGAACTGGTAGGGGGCGCTGCGCATCTCACTGTCAACCAGGCTGCGTGAGAACAGCTCCTGGTTACAAAACCGGGGATCAGAAACAGACATATCACACGTTACCAGGAGTTTCACATGGACACAAGCTGAAATGGGCGATGTATCAATACATCATTTTGGACCTAACTCTATGGGGTGATTATTATAGCAGGATTCCGTAGCTGTGTAAAATAGATTTGCATACTAGTATTTTAATTTTGTGTACTCAAGCAGAGATTAGTGAACTTGTACTTCAGTTTTGTACACCCGTGCAGAGTGTTGTGAACCACAGTTAGGGACATTCCGGAATACATTCATCAATTCCAAGCCAAATCAGGAAATGAAACTGCAGTTGGGATTGGAAAAAAAAGTTATGGGGAACAGAATTGGATATGAATTTAAATTTCAGGGGGATTTCAATTTGAACTCCAGTTCCATTTCCTGATTTGGATTGGAATTGAATGCATTCCGGAATGGCCCCAACCCTGTTGTGAACTTGTATTTTGGTTTTCTACACCCCTGCGACAATGTTCGTGTTACAAAAAAGTTTTGCACACTTGTATTTTCAAAGTCACAGATTTGCAACTTCATACATTTTCAGAAGCCATGTTACAACTACGAATCGGGATTACAAGTGCCCAAACTCAATATATGTGCACTCGGAATGCTGGGATTTCTGGCAGCTTTGGCACGGACCCAAACCCATGACTGTCAGCTACAGAACAGCAAGTGGACGGGATCTGTGTGCCTCAAACCATGACAACCAGTCAAAACTCAAAACTTTGATGGGTGAAAGTGACAGTTCATTTCAAGGCTTAGTTGCAAATCTATTTCACACAACCACAGAATTCTGTCATAATAATCACTCCATAGTACTCACACTAGGCCCAGTTGCCCTGTACCATGCTTGAGCACGACTGCCCCTCCCTTCCCGCTCCCCCTGCTGGTCTGCACTCACAATGCACTTGACGATCCTGGCCCGAACATGCTTTCGTCATCACCGTGTGACTTTTTGTGTTGCAGAAAAGGAAAGAGCTGTTGCGCAGCAGAAGGGAGTCCTGTATTTTTTCAAATATCTCAGAGTTTCTGTGTGTCGCATCCAGCTGTTCCTGGATGCTCTCATCAGCACAAATTTGTACCCGATCTGTACAGCCTACCTGATCTGTACAGCCTACCAGATCTGTACAGCCTACCCGATCTGTACAGCCTACCAGATACATTTCTTCCGGGTCCCAGTACATGTAAAGTGTACATGTGCGCGTGCGTATGCCAGTTGCATTATTGGCGTCATGTCTGTTCCATGCTCAGGCACAGTTACTGATCACACTATGCATTTCGTGCCCAAGTCCAGCTGAATCGAGCCCAGGCCCACCTTTTCTAGTGGGTCCAGGCAGAGTTAAGCGTACTGGGCCAAAGCAAGGGTCCACCTAGCAGGCTCACCTGGGCGATCTCCCGGTACTTCTCGTCCATGGAGGTCCGTAGGTCGATGGGGAGCAGTGGGATGGACACTGGTGTTCCTGGGAGGGAGCGCTGGGTGGTGAGAGTGCAGCAGGCTCTCCGGAGGTCTGCAGAAGGTCGGGGGAGGTGCGACCAGTGTCATTACGTTTGGATTTTTTATTTCAGCTTTTATTTTTATATCATTTTCAGTAAACTTGCAACATTTTTACGGAATTAAGCATCCCAAGACTTTATGTGAGAACTGTATGTACAAACAGCATATTAACTTGAATACCAACACAGATTGACCTCCATCAGCGAGTTGTGCTAATTATTTCTGACCACAAACATTCCTTCTAAAAAAGCCACTGGAGTTTGTCTCTCAAGGCTTTAAAGCCCCCCCCCCCCCCCCCATGTCTGCAGCAGCCAATGAAGGCCTCGATAGGCATGGCCCTCTCGGGTTTGTCACTGCCAAATACCGTGATACAACAACCAGATAAAACTGCAAGTGATTAAATGACAATTTTTAACCATCTTTTCCTTATCTCGGCCCATTGACCAGATCGATTCCTCCTTCTGACTCATCTACTTAAGCAAATTAGCTGAGCATTAATCATTGTGTAAGCGTGTCTCAGTCCTCTGATGGATGGCAGGACCACGCGCTCTTGAATGGGTGTTGCCGTTGCCTAGGAAACAGCAGTAAGGTGCGTAATCAGCACAAACACTGTAAACGAGACTGGCAGAGAGTGGAGCCATGCAGATAACGAAATATTAATGCAGAGCTACTAGCATCAGGGCAGCACTGCAGTTTTCCTGTTCTCTTTAAAATTCACATTTGATTTTACTCCTTTTTACAGCTGGGTAACTCCAGCAGTCCAGGTTATGTAGAGGGATAAGTTCAGGTTATGTACAGGGATAAGTTCAGGTTATATACAAGGATAAGAGCCCCGCAAATCATCCCAGCAAAGCTTCGTGTTAAGTCTGTCATAACCATTATAACAACTACTGAACATGGATGAGGAGCTACTGCTGCTCGAAATCTAAGCCATTTATAAAATATCCAAAAATCTGTTAACAGGCAATATTATATGTCTTATGAGCTTTAACACAGTAACGAAGGTCATCTTAGTATAGGTCAGCTTACATCTTGGTTATGTTGGATATCTGTATGTGGCGAACATACATTCAACTATTCATGTACCTCAGTTCAAAGCTGATTTATTAAAGCATAATAAAACAGGCACATGTCTATTGATCATTTATTTCTACACTGTTGTTCTTTGCACGGGGTAGGCCTCAGCCTATGCCTCCCAAAGCACGTGTTTCACATGCCTAATAAAATGTTGCCAATGTTGAATGAACACAAACATTTTACAAAGAAATAGATTTTTTTTCAGAGATTAGTCTAAAAAGAACATGAATTCTATGATGACAGTGATGCAAACATACCTCTTCATCAGGATTCTACATAAGCCTGGATATTTTTAATACAGACAAGGGAAATTTCAAAGAGGGGAAAAATAGCTGCCATTCTCTGTCTTCACCCCCAAACACAAAAAGTAGCAACTGGAGGTATAGAAACGCTGATAACAGTCTTTAGTGCAAAACAGCAAACACCAATTTAAAGTCACTTATGCCAAAAAAGGAGGGCTAGCTTGTGTAATAGCAATCTACTGACATAATTCAAGAGCAGACATAGAAGTCTGCTTCGCTGTATATGTTAAGGGCATCTAAAACAAACAGATCAAATCAGTAACTGTAGGGCACAGAAACAGTGTCCCAGAAAGTGATCATTAAAGCAATCACCGCAACCTACTAACAAACAGATACCAAACAGGACACAGGGTTAGGGATGTGATGAGGGGCTCCAGTAAAAACTTTTAAAAAAGCTTTTTCATAAATATGGAAGGAGCTTTGTCTTAAAAAATAATGTGCAGGAGAATTATGAACTCTGTCCCTATTGCCCTGTCTTCTGAAGCTTTGAGAACTCAGTAAATCAGTAAGTACTCAACGGGGGCTTAATGCTTCTTAAATAGTTTTGTTAAGTGTTTTAATTCCAGTTTCAACTGGATAAAACAAGTCCCCAGGTACAGTCAACTAGCAGGTGAACCACTAAAAGCAGCAAGGGTTCGCAATACCTCGGTGCTCCTCAAACGACGTTTGACACGCCTGCGTTTTTTAAAAGGGATGGGGGGCAAAAATGCTGCTTTTAAACCAGAACCGCGTCCGCCGACCCTGCAGAGAGTGCCCGACATTTGTGTACTGCTATACTGCGGACTGTTATGGGACCCGGATACCGAGTCACTCAAACACCTTTATTCAGATCCAGGAACCCAGGGCTGCCAACTATATGGTCAGCGGGCTGGCGTGAAGTTTTTTAACCCGAGACAAGTCTGCACACACATCTACATGTATGTACCAGTTTTATTACCTTGCAAATACTTGCAAAATACCCTAGCACTTTTCGTGTAGCTAATTTTAGGCTTATAATGGAATAATATATATTTGTCGTAAGATTTCTTGCCTGAGCGTGAGTCAGAAAGCGAGTGTCACGCCAGATGCGTGAGGGTTGGCAGCTCTGGGAACGGCAGTTATCTACGCTGTTTTGTAACAGACTTTTTCCCATGTAGAACAATTACAGCTGCTTCATGATTAAAAGAGAGAATGATGAGTGGACGCATCTTAGTAAAAAAAAAAAAAAAAAAAAA